CTCGTTGACAAAATTACTACGGTCGTTTTACATGCCAAAGAGGTGACAATCGCTAGCTCAGATTTAAAGTTTCTGTTTACATTTTTTTCAGTGATTACTATGGAGAAATGTTCAAAATTTTCAAGACAGGAATTTTCAATACAGGATGTTTAACACGTAATTCATTCTCTCTCTCTCTCTCTCTCTCTCTCTCTCTCTCTCTCTCTCTCTCTCTCTCTCTCTCTCTCTCTCTCTCTCTCTCTCTCTCTCTCTCTCTCTCTCTCTCTCTCTTTCTCACTCACTCTTTCTCTCCCTCTCTCTCCATCAAATAACTTGTGTGATTATAATTTTCCTTGAAACTCTGTAAAACACTAAAAGATAAACACGATTCCCAAGACGATGAAAGACTTTTGCTGATACAAAGTTAACCCCTTTTTTTTACCCTTCTAATATACACTCTTTAGTTTCTCGCACACCATTTGTGACAGGCGAGATGTTGGAGATGTAATAATCTAGGCCAAAACCTCAAGAAATGTTATGTGATTCAGTTCGAGAAAATTTAAGGTTTGTTGCCAATAAGCTGTTGCTGCGTATTTTACTTAGATATTCACTGATCATTATTTTTCTCTTAGTTGTTTGTTAAATATCTTAATATACTTGTTTCACATGTTTTTGTTTTGTTTTGTTTTGTACCTTTCGGGATAATACTTCGCTATAATGAATGAGTGTATATTGCTTAATCCTTTATAACGAAACTTGACATAAACGTGACATTTTTTTTCTTCTAATAGTGACCTCGATGTTTTCTGTCACTGTCAGTCATTTTTTTCAGTTTTAGTTTTTATTAACGTAACGATGCCAATGCCTATAGGACAAGAACACAATTTGGATATTTTTTTTTTCTTTTTTACCATTTATATGAATTTAGATCCATATATCTGGGCTTTACACTCACGCCCTCTTTTTTTTCTCCTGGGCCATTTCCCCGAATCAGAATCTATAAATTAATCTTGCTTCATCTTCCTCGAATCAGAATATGTACATTAATCTTATTTCATCCTCTTTTAAGATAATTTTAACGGATTCACGAGACCGACAAAATCTCGCGGAAAATTAAGGAAGTACAAAAAACATAATAGAAATACATAACTATTTGCCGTTTCTCTTACTCATTTCCACTGATCTTTTGTTGTCTAGATTTCCATTAATAATGCTGATTGAATAAGCAAGTGACTGAAAATTAAATATATTTAATATCGCTGAGGTTGATTTGAGAACGGCGCACCTCATGGATCGCTAAATACAAGTTGCGTTTCTTAATTTTTTTTCTGGAATTATTTATCATATACTGACCACTATTAATGTCAAAACTAAAGGATATATTTATGCTTCTCTCCAAATGAAAGATACAACAAAGTTCTCCCATTTAAGAGAAGAAATAAGAACGTTTTGTTTTCATACAAGAGACCACATAAAAAAAAAACAAAAAAACTCTCCTCTCAGAAGAAAAAAAATCACAAATAACAAAACCCAAAACAAAACAACAAACAAACAACCCCTCCCCCCCACTAAATAAAAGAGAAAAAAGACACATAAAATAACCCAAACAAAACACAACCACCAAAGGGAAGAAAAAAATATATATAGGCCCGTAGCCCCTTCTTCTCCCGAAACAAATGTAAACAGAAAAAAACGCGACATAAAAATAGCCCCGAAGAATCCTGCCAGAAAACGAACTAGTTACTAGCGAGCGACAGAGAACGGGTGAGAGAGAGAGAGAGAGAGAGGGAGAGAGAAAGACAGTCAGTCAGTCAGAAAGGTGAGATATCAGGGAGATAGAGAGAAAGGGAGAGAGAGAGACAGTCAGTCAGAAAGGTGAGATATTAGGGAGATAGAGAGAGATAGAGAGAGAGAGACAGTCAGTCAGTCAGAAAGGTAAGATATTAGGGAGATAGAGAGAGAGGGAGAGAGAGAGACAGTCAGTCAGAAAGGTGAGGTATTAGGGAGATAGAGGGAGAGGGAAAGAGAGAGGGAGCGAGAGAGGCAAAAATTGAGGGGGTGGGAGGAGGAGGAGAGAGGAGAGAGGAAGGAAGGTAATAGGTAAATAGGGAAAGAGAGAAAAGAGATAGTAAGGGAGGATTGCATTGCTCTTTCGATCTCGGGTTTTGTTTTTATGGGCCCTTTTTTTTTTCATCACCGTACCTGAACAGCACTTAACATCTGTAGCGAATTTCGGAGGAAAGGAAACGAATCCATGTGATCGATGGAACTCGGTGCCAAATAAAGGTAAGATGAAGAAGGTTGATTCGGTTTTCAGGTGATAATCAAGATCTGTTAATGTTGCTGTCTTAAGAAATTGATCTTAAGCATACAGCATCTTACCTTTGGACTTCTATCTTGGCTGGAATTGCAACTGTCATGGCTAAGATATTTCCAAAAGCTTAGGTTTTCATACATATTAGTCATAATGTGTTCTTTGAGTGTCAGTGTTTCCTTGGGTTCACAAGTATCACTAGGGGAATAGCCAAAATTTTATGAAAGGGGAGTAGGGATTGGAAAATGGGGTGAAAGTTTACGGAGAGAGATGGTACACGATGTTTCGCGATTGCGGATCTCAGGACTGTAATGTGCTGTTGTAGTTTATTATTCAAAAGTCGTTGGTGAAGTGTTCTGTATTGAATGATAAGTTGACAGGTCCTAAATCTCCTCTGGTTCGCTATGCCACGGTATGCTTATGTCTATGTATTTTTTTAGGTTTGCCTTAAAACCACATCAGTCAGTCATTATTTATGATAAAGATGATGCATATATGTAGTGTTAATTTAATTTTGTCAGCATTAATAAATATTAATGGGTAAACTTCAGTTTCAGTCATATATAATCTAAACATCACATGGAATTTATGGACAGATGTATTCTAAATCTCTTGCATAGCTGTCACAGTTAAAACATTATAAAGCTAAAGATAATCATCCAGAATAAGGCCTCATTGTGTAAAGCCTCTATACTTTGTCAAAAGCAAAGGCTAATAAACCTCCACCGCATATATTTTTTTAAGATAGCGCTTACACTCATTCCTTGTTTGGCAATAAATGATCTGGACAAGAAACTCATCTCTTGACAGAATGTACGTGATGGAGGTTTGTTCATCACTTCTTAAGTATAAAGTACAGAGAACACTACATCAATTGATTCATAAGACTGACTTTCATTTGTAAGACTGACAAGTGATTGTAGAAAAAATTAGTATTCATTTTATTATTTACAATCATTTCATTATTTTATTGTTTTTTGATACAGTTCTTTTTATTAAATATACATAAAATAAATACAAATACTGATTAGAATTATCCAGAGAGATCTGTAAATATATGTATATATTATATACATATATATGTACATATACATGTGTGTATATATACATGTATGTATGTATGTACATATGTATGTATGTATGTATGTTTATATATATATATATATATATATATATATATATATATATATATATATATATATATATATATATATATATATATGTATGTATGTATATGTATATGTATATGTATATGTATATGTATATACATACATACATACATACATACATACATACACACACACACACACACACACACACACACACACACACACACACACACACACACACACACACACACACACACACACACACACACACATACATACATACATACATACATACACACACACACACACACACACACACACACACACACACACACACACACATAAATATACATATATATACTTATACATGCATATACATATGTGTGTGTGTAATTGTATATGTATATACATATATAAATGTAAATACATATAAATACACACATATGTACAAATACATATATATATATATATATATATATATATATATATATATATATATATATATATATATATATATATATACATATATATGCATACATGCAAATATACATATATATGCATATATATGTATATATGCATATATACATATAAACATATATACATATATACATATATACATATATACATATATACATATATACATGTATACATATATATGCATATATAAATATATATATATATATATATATATATATATATATATATATATATATATATATATATATATATATATATATATACATACATACATATACATATATATATATATATATATATATATATATATATATATATATATATATATATATATATATATATATATATATATATATATATATATTCATACTTACATACATACATGCATACATACATACATACATAAACACACACACACACACACACACACACACACACACACACACACACACACACACACACACACACACACACACACACACACACACACACACACACACACACACACACTCATTCACTCACTCACTCACTCACTCACTCATACACACTTTCACACACACACACAGACATACACATACACACACACACTCACTCTCACTCACTCTCACTCACTTACTCACTCACTCACTCACTCACTCACTCACTCACTCACTCACTCATGCACACACGCACACTCACTCACTCACTCACTCATGCACACACACACACACACACACACACACACACACACACACACACACACACACACACACACACACACACACACACACACACGCATACACGCACACTCGCACGCATGCACACACACATCTTTACGGTAGAAATCCCACAATGCACAAACTAGATGTTATAGTTATTAAATCATCAATGTGGCTTGAACGATATGCTCGGGTTTTTATTTTACATTTCCTGATTATCCCTTTTTGTTCCATACTTTCTTTTGGCAGACTAGAACAGCACAAAGATGCTAGCCTATGAGGATGGCGTGGACTGGACGAGACTCCCCGATAGTATACTACTCCAGATCTTCACTTTCCTGGAGTATTCGGATATGCCGTTTGTTGGTCGTGTGTGCAAGTGAGTACTCTTTTTTTGTGTGTGTGTAGATGTAGATTTTTTTT